AATACAATTTTTCGTGTCCCTTTCCCGCGACCAAGCAGCCCCTTGACAGGGGCTAGGTCCAGGGGTCACGCCCGAGCCGTGACCCCTCCACCCCGAGCACGGAAACTGCCCCCAAGCCGAGCTTATTTGCTCGACTTGGAGGACTTAGCGCCGCTCATCCAGTGGTTCCCGGCTTGTGTCTCCCAGGTGAAGGGAAGGCTAACTTGCCTCCCCTCTGCCGCTTGGGGAAAGGCTTCTTGGTGGAGCTTTCCCCTGAACCCGGCGCTTTCTGCGCCGCACCTTTTGTTGTCCGGGGGTCAGCGACCTTACGGTCTCTGGTCCCGGACACCTTCCTTTTGGGGAAAGGGAGGGGCATCGCGCCGTTCCCACTCCCCTTCCCTCCAGTCTTCGGCTCTTTCCGGAAATCGGAGGGCTCCTTGCTTGAGGAGGAGGTCTTAGCGGCCTTCCCCCTATCACCTGCGGCGGGCTTTGTGTCCTCAAAGGAGGCGGACGGGGAAGGATTATCCTCCCGCGCCTCGCTGTCTTCCGGCCACAGCCGGGCCAGGCTCTCCACCGGGGAGAATAGGTAAACCCCCTCTCCGTCTTCCTCCCAACCGGAGGAGTCCCCGCCGGACTTGGCACTGCGGGCCCGCCGCTTTCTCCTCTTCTTCGTGGAGGGGTTAGGCACCGCCCTCTCCTCGCCCTCCTTGCCACCGGGTGGCAGCGGAGGCGCCGGAACTCCAGCGGCCCGCCTAGTGGCTACTTTTTTGCCGGCATGGGGGCGCAACTTGCGCCGCTCATCCGGTGGTTCGCTGGCTGCTCCCGGCTTGCACACAAAGTGCACTTGGGGGCAACCTTGCATGTGATGGCGAGGTGGCCATCCCCCCCGCAACAGTAGCACGCCGTGCTCCGGTCAACACCGGAGCACTTGCGCGCCACGTGCCCGTACTCGAGGCACCGATAGCACTGCATACGCCGTGCTACCAGAGCCCCGACGGCGAGGCTAAACCACCCAACCTCTATTCTTTTTGCCCCTACTACCCGCCGGGCTGCCTTCAAGGGCATACGGGCCCATAAAGTCCCGTACCCGACGGGAGAGGAGCGAACCAGCCCAGTGCAAACCTCACTGGGCTGGCATCCACCTGCCGCCGCTAATGCGGTGGCAATGTCTTCTGCGGAGAGGGGGGGAACCACGTCCCGCACGCGGACTTCCGCGTGCGTTATGCGACGGGTGAATTTTACCCCCACTACGCCCTCCAGCCCTTTGGACGCCCTCTCAACGAGGGCGTCAGCCTTCTCCGCTCCTCCAGGCTCGGGTACCTGGAAGAGCATGCCATCATTGGCCGCCCTCTTTATCCGGAGGCCGGAAATTCCGACCTCCTTCAAATTAACGGCGGCCGCCGCCTTCCTCATTACCTCGGCAAAACTGCCGCCCTCCCCCACGGTAAGGAGGACGGCAGCCCCGGTTGGGAGCTTGCCGAGTTTAGCCCTTTCCGCTCCCCCGGAGCGCTGATTCGCGCTCACAGGGGCCACGGGAGGGCGGCGGTTCTCTTTAGAAAGGGGAGGTTCTCTCCCTTTCCTCCGCGCCTTGCGACCTACCACCGCCGCCCAGGTGGTCGGGGCGGGTACGGCGGCAGGCGCACCCGAGGACTGAGGGGCGAGCTCTCTCCTAATTAGAGAAAAGATTTGCCTCTCCATGGCGTCCCCGATTTGGTCCGCCAGCAGGCGGACACACCTCTCTTTTGGGGGGTCCGGAGGGTCTTCTCTTAGGGGCTCATTCGCCCCCCGCTCGTCTGTACCCTCCGGGAGTCCGTCCGCGGAGGCGGGGTCAGCGCCACAGTCTGCTGCGGGACGAGCGCAGGCCCACCGACCTGCGTCCCGCAGTCTGCCACCTCCTTCTTCAACGCGCCCACGAGGGAGAAACCCTTGTAGGCCGCGTCGAGCATTTCGCCTTCTTGTATCGGGAGGCCATTAGCCTCCCTGATTCTTTACTAAGCCGGAGCTTTTCCTCCAGGGTCCTGACGCGCTCATCAACGAGCGCGCCAGGCCCGGCCAGCTCCGACTTTGCCGCCTATATTGGCATATAGGCGAGGGCAACAATGCCCTTGCCCAATCTTTTTATGGTGGCCGCCACGTCCTTCAGTATCTGTACGTACCGACCGTGAAGAGTTTTGGACGTGGTGGCCACTTTCATCACGGCCTCCGCGGCAGTGTGCGTCTTCATCACCATCTCCGCCGAGGAGGCAACCGGGCACGAGAGCCTGGAGGACGGCAGCTGGGCGGTGTTGCGCCAGCATTCGTCTTTCAGCTCTAAAACCGCCTCCGCTTGTCTTGCAGCCGAAGCACGCTCTTCGGCTGCGACGATGGCGAGAAACTCGGCGCCGGTCGGCGGTCTTCCCACGCCCCCACTCGTGCTGAGGGCTGGTGTGAAGGCGTCCTCCTGCACCTCCATTGCGCTGTCAGTGTCCCCAAAAAATTGGGACACAGACAGGCCGGCGAGTGGTGGGGAGCAAGAGCGCTCCTTCGCCGGCTTCTTCTTTTTGTCTCCTCCAGGGAGAGCGCCACCAGCGCTAACTTTACTAGAGGAGACCGGCGCCCCAAACATTCTTTGCGCGCCAAGCGCGAGAACGTCGGACCGCTTTTTCGCAGTCGAAGTTTCTCCCCCCACCCTTGCGGTGCAGGCGGAGGATAGCCCATCACGTGATAACGACATGGGGGTGCCTGGGACGGCAACACCCCCACGCCGGGCCTTGAGTGTCCAATCACTCTGGGCCGGTACGTCTATCTCTTCCTCTGAACTTAGTCCTATGGTTATTTTAGAAGAATGGTTTAATTTCGGAGTTTTCCTTCTCCTAGGCCGGCTGCCCACACAGGGCTAACGAGCCCGGCCTGCCTGGGTGCGCTCTTGGTCTGGCCGCTCCCCGTGGACTTGTCCGACAAGGGTGACCCTGCCAGGAACCGAAGTTTCCGCCGGCATAGCTCCACGGATCAACATGGCACTCAAGCCCCTCTACCACGACAAGGTGGCGCACCCCCGGAGAGGCCTCCGTTCCTCTATCCAACCCTCTCTCTCTCTCTCACTCTCTCACTCTCTCTCTTTCTTTCACTGTCTCACATTCTTATATCTCCATTTCCTCTCTTACTCATCCTCATTCCTCGCACTCCCTTCCACATTCCCATTTTCTTTTTTTACTCCCCTCTGTCTTACACTCTCTTCCTCTCCATTCCTCTATTTTCTTCAGCCATTCCTCCTTCTCCCCTTCTTCACCCAACACCACTTCTACCATTTCATCCCAACTTCTCTCCTTCCCCCACTCCGTGCACTCATCCCATACATGTCTCCAATTCTCTTCCTTTAAACCACACATCCTACACTTCCTCTCTTCCTCCTCTTCCCAGTACTTACCTCCATTCATCCCATTTCCTAATTTGTACCTAGCCATTCTCTGCCATCTTTTTTTCCTCCACCCCTTCTTCAAATAACCTGATACTCCTTTCTTTTTTATCTTCCCATATCACATATTAAATTTCGAGTCCTTTATCCTTTCCCACCTCTCACCTCTTTGCTTTTCCTTCTCTTTCTTCACTAATTTGGCCATTTTCTCCTCCCCAAGATTTCTTTCCTCATTTACTTTTATCTCCACCCCTCTTCTTCCAAAAAACTTCACTCTCTCTCTTTCTCAGTCCGACAGTTCCTCCTCCGTCTCCACTCTACCCTTCATTTCTTTCCAGCACTTTCTTACCACTGTTTCCCCCTCTCCTCTCCTAATCTTCTCCTTATAACCCACTGCTTTTAACCCAGCTCTTCCTCTTAATAATTCTCTCTGTAACTCTTCTCTTAACATGTAACCCGGTGTCGTCCAATCCATATTCAGTAACCATCTTAAATATTCTTCTTGCAAGCATCTCTATCTTTCTCCATTCCTTCCATCCCCATATCTCTACCCGATATCCCACCACTGACCAGATCAACTTATCAAAAAGCCATACCCTTTTCCCCCAATCCTTTCCAAATTTTCTCTTTCCAATACCTTATACCTGTCCCATCACTGCTGCCCCTTTCTTCACCCTATCCCTAATATGTTCATCCAATCCTCCGTTCCTCTGGAATGTAAACCCTAAATATTTGGATTCCTTAACCTCTTCTATTCTCTCTCCTTTCCACCACTACTCCACTTTTTTATCTCTTCCTCCCCCTTTTCTAAATCTTAATACCTTCAACTTTTCCACATTTACCTCCAATCCCTTCTCCTTTACATACCTTTCAAATCTCTTTATTAAATTTCTCATTCCTTCCTCCTCTTCCGCCAACAACACAATGTCGTCTGCATACGCTAAGGAGTATATTTTCCCCCCCTTAACTTCACTCCCCCCCAACTTCCTTTCTCCATTTTCTCTTCCAGATCCGACAATAACAAATTAAACAATCCCGGGCTCAATGGACAACCCTGCCTTACTCCCCTTCCTACCCAAACACCCTTTTTCAGCACCCCCCCTTTTTTCACTCTAATCCTTGTTTCCTTATATAATTCCATGCATCTCTCTACCAACCCTCCTCTCACCCCCCTTTCCCTCATTGTTTTCGCCAATATCTCCCTGTTCACCATATCAAAAGCTGATCTTATATCCACAAAAAACGCCACCAACCTCCCCCCCTTTTCACATAAGTTCCTGTTTACTAAATAATTCATGACATATATGTTGTCCATTGTCCCCATCCCTTTTGTAAAACCCGCTTGATTATCTCCCACCAAACCTTTTCTTTTTACTTCCGTTCTCAATCTTTCCGCCAACACTCCCGCATACACCTTATAAAGAGTCGACGTTAGCGTCACCCTTCTATACTTTTCTACTTTATTCCCTTTCCCTTTCTTTAACACCGGTACTACTATTCCTTCCTCCCATTCCTTTATCCAACCTTCACCTCTCCATATCCTTACACATACATTGTTCACCCACTTCTTCAATTCCACCCCTCCATATTTCCACACTTCCGCAGGTATTCCATTACCTCCTGCCGCTTATCCATCCTTCACTTTCTTCATCACCTTCTCTATTTCCTTCCATTGGATCTCCTCCTCGTCCTCTTTTCTTCTCTCTATTCTGTCCCCCATCACCATTTTCCACTTTACCCCTCCAAACTGCCTCATAAAATAATCTTCCCATTTTTTCAACTTTATCCCTTCCCCCCAACCCCTTTTTACCTTTCTCCCCATTTACAATTTCCCACAATTGCCTTTCCGTTCTTGCTCTCTTTACTTTTTCCTCCCACCTCTCATTCTCCTTTCTTTTCTTCCTTTCACACAATTTTCTATAATCCTTTTTCTCTCTCTTATAGCCTCTTTTTTCTACTTCACCTTTTCTCCATCTCCTTAATTCTTCTCTCACTCTATTCTTCTCTTCTCTACATTCCCCATTCCACCACCCTTTCCTACTCAACTTCTTTCCACCACCACTTTCTTTAAACGCATTACCCACCAGCTTTTTCATCTCCCTCCATTCCTCTTCCATTTCCCTCTCTCCCATCCCCTCTCTTCCCATTTCTTCCTCCAGTTGTTGTCTTCCTTCCTCCGAGCATCTTATCCTCTCCATCTTTTTCCCCTCATTTACATTCTTTTCTCTTTTCTTTTGTCCTCCTCCCGCTTTCACCCATACAACCACCGGGTGATGGTCCGAATCTACTTTATCTTCTATCACCATCTTTTCCACATCTTCTTTCAAACCTGCTTCTCCTATCACATAGTCGATGACCGATTCTCCCCTCCCTCCAGTATATGTCAACTCTCCTTCCTCATCCCCTCTTATGTCTCCATTCCAGATAGACCACCTCACCTCTTCTATTTCATTCACCAACTTCCTTCCCTCCGCATTGATCTTCTTATCCTTAGACTTTCTCCTTACCTTTTCCCCTTTTTCCTCTTCCTCCACTGCTTCTCCTCCTTCTTCTCCCGTTCTAGCATTAAAATTCCCTCTTAATATTACTTTTACACCTTCCTCTTTTCTTTCCATAAACCTCTTCAACTCTTCCCACATTCTCTCCCTTTCCTCATTGATATACACTCCTACCACCTTCCACCATCCATTCCCTATTTTTATATTTTTCACCAATATCCCTTCCTTTTCTTTCCAGTTTTCCTCCTCCCTCGACTCTAACTCCTTTTTCACCCCCATCATCATACCCCCTTTTGCTCTCCCTTTTTTTATTCTTTTTCTTTGCCCATTGTACTTTCCAAGAAACTCTCCTGGCAACTTCCCTTTCATCCTTTCCCATCCTTTCTCATTCACCCACGTTTCCATTAAAATTAGTATATCCCACTCTTTTAATCCCTCCCAAAAATCTTTATCCTTATTACTCAATCCCGCCACATTCCAAAACGCTATTTTCTTTATTTCTCCTATTCTTCTTCTATCCGCCTTTTCTCTTTCTTCTACGCCTTTCTCCCTATCCCCTCCTTTCCTCACCCTTTTTCTTCTTATTTTTTCTTCTCTTCCTCCACCCCCTCTCTCCGTTCCCCCAACTGATTCTCTACCCCTTTTTGCCCACTCTACTCCAACCTATTTATTATTTCTATTTCTCCTTTCTCTTCAACCCATCTCCACCAATCACCTTTAATTCTTATTCTATCCCCCTCCACCCACACCTTCTTTCCTTTACTCCTTTCCTCTGCTGCCATTCTCCCTAATTTTCTTCTTATTTCTCTTTCTTTCCTCGTCCAATCCTCATCAATCCATATCTTTTTTCCTTTCAAGTACTTTTTTCTTCTCCAGATTTCCTTCTTATCCTCCTCCTCCCTTAAAAAAAACTTTAACCATACCATATCTCCTTTCCTCCCTGTCCCTATATTCAACCTTTTCATTTCCGCGTCCTGTATCTCCACTCTTATTTTTTTCCAAATTTTTTCTACCCCCCACCTCCAATCACCCTTTTCCTTTTGTACCCCCTTGATCACCAAATTCTTCCTTCTCCTCTCCTCCTTCTCCTTCCACTCCAAATTCCTCTCAATCTGTTGCACTCTTCCTTCTAACACCTCCCCTCTCTCGCCATTTTCCCCACTCCCCTTCTCTCTTCTCATTCCCGTTTCTTCCTTCTTTTTATTTTTCAATTTTTCTTCTAACTTTTTTACTTTCTCCATCAAATCCTCCTCTTCTCCTCCTATCTTCTCTTCTCTTCTTTTCCATTCCACCATTTCCCTTTTCATCAATTCCATCTTTCTCGCAAACTTTTCTAGTTCTTTCTTCATATTTCCTAATTCCTTCTACATAAACACACCCCTTCCCCTCTCCCCCTCTCCCTCTACTTTTTCCTTCTCTTCTCCCCCTTGCTCCACCTTGTCTCTTATTTCCCGTGGTGATCTCTGCACCTTCTTGCTACTTCTAAAACTTCTCTCTTCCTCCTCTTCTCTTTTTTCACTACATTCCTCTCCCGATTCCCCCTTTCTTTTCAACCATTTCTCCATTACTAATCCTTTACTTACCGTTCTTTCCTTTTTACCTCCTTCCATCTCTTTCCACATCTCCACCTTACCTTTCTTTTTACCTACACCTTCCGCCATTTTTATCTCCTCCAAACTCCCTAGAAATCCTTTCATCCCGAACGCACCTTACCACACTCTCTATATTTTCTACACCTTTTACTCTCCACACTTCAATCGCTTCTTTCGCTCTCATACACGCTTCCTCCAAATCCTAATCTTACTCCCTCCCTAACTTCCACCTTTCGCTCTCTCTACTCTCTTTCTCTCACCCTCCACCTCACTTTCACACGCACCGCACCCATCACCGCCAACACTCAACCACTCCACTCACTCAACCGACACTCAAACACCACACAATCCACCTTCTCTATGACTCTATATCACACTGAAAGAATCCCCTTTTTAATTGACCCGTTAACAACAGATCCTTCCGACATCTTCCTGTTGATATCCACCACTCCAGCCAGAAAACTTTTCCCGGTCAAATTTCCTTATATAGATGATATCCGTTTAGTTCCCGTCCACCATTTTTATACTATATTCCTCCTTAGTTCTGCCAAAATTCATGAGATCATCGAAATAGATTTTGAATGATTTCTATACCACGAATCGGCGTCTTAAACATGCACCCGACACTCTTACACCTGTAAAACCCCGCCGAAGGCCCCTCACACACACTCTCGCGACACGCATACATACATACATACATATTCCCCCTCTCTAGCCTCCGAGCGATGACCCTCCGCCTTAATTAATATTGTACGCATCATAATTTTTCCGTTTAATTAAGACGACCTCTCATCATTTCACATCCTCAATCGATCGCACGGTCTCGTCCTTAGTCCGTGGAGTTAATTCTCCAGACTTAAAAAGAGACCGACGAGTGGGGCCTCATAGGACAGAGTGAGAGCGGCATACGCCGTTGACCTGTCCGTGAGAGCACACAAACCCGCTCGACTCTGCCGCAGCGGGATCACCGATCTGCTGTGCAGAGATAGAAAGAGAAACGACAACTCTCTGTTGCTCCTCCATAGCCCGACCGTAACCGTGGGCCAGGACGTCACATAACACTTTCATTTATTTATCTTTCAAATTATCTTCCTTTTTTTTTCTTACGTGTGAGTGTGTATGTATATAGTATGGTTTGAATATCGTCTTATAAAATCGTTAAAGCTAAAGTTATATTTAAAAATAATAGTACTAATTTATATGTAGAGAATATTATATGAAATTAATCTCTGTTAAATAAATTAAAAGTGTAAAGCATCAGTGGAAGGGATGTCTTAGCAACGCTTTTAAACTTTGCTCTTTGCTCTGTGATTAGAACTTTATCCAATACGTGACGATGTGACTATTATCATTCTTTAATTTTTGTATCGCCTATTACGATTAAAGCGCGATATAAATGATAAGTCATGCAGCGCGACGCATATAATACGATATTGATGGTTTATTTCTGAAAGATGCGATTTTGAAACATAAGAAAATCAATTAAGACTTAAGGCTCGTTGAAATTGTCAACAAGAAATATATAAGGCCTTACGAGCCATCCTGGCCGAATGGCATTCGCAGGATGGCTCGTAAAACCTTATATATTTTTTGTTGATAAGAAAATTATATATGGTTGAATTCAGCGTAAAAAATGCTACAAGTTTTCCTGACAAAAATTTTGAAAACTAAAAAAAAAAATAACGGGTGGAAGTAAATAAAAAAATGTTGAATGAAAAATAAATCCAACTATGCGGTTGTAAAGCCTATGAAATACTATGCAACTTTTATTTGAAACATTTTTTTATATTTCTTACCGTTTTGATGATACTCGCAGAAAACAAAAAAACTCGTTTTTTTTAAGGAGTGTATCACTCCCCAAACGTACAAGAAAGCACATAAAAAAATACGGGTCTCTTATTTTTAACTACTTTACAACATATTCAAAGCTCAGCAAAATCGGAGAGGGACACTTACATCACTTCCTTTGTAAGTAAAATAAATATTGTAGATTTAATCTGAACTGTAAATGTTTAGACATCAAACGACATTTAATAAATTCGTGGTTCTGAAGTTTGACTTTTCTAGGTGTCTTTTAATACCAAAAAGAAATAAATCTGGAAACCACATTAATTCTAATAATTTTTTACGATTATCCATCGGCAAATCTTCAAGTTTTAACATCTGATACAAAACTGTTGCACTTTTATTCAATTTTTTTTTATACAAGGGATATACTATATAGCATAGTGCTCATAATATTCATTATTTTCATCTATAATCTTGGTCAACATTGCCTCATGTTGGTCGTCAACTATAGTCTCTACATGAGTTTCTATATTTTTTGTTTGTTCTACACAGTGTGATAATTCACGACATTTTTCATCTGATATATCTTCTTTATCAGTTTCTGTTTCTTGCAAGCAAAATTCCACAGTATCTAATTTATCCACATGTAACTCATCATAAGTTTTTAGTAACATAATATGAGAATATAAAGAATCGGTATCTTTTAACAATTTTAAAGTGTCGAATACATTTTTAATATTTCCTAATTCTTCCCAGATAATTTTCGATTTAGTAGGAATATCTTTGACTTGTAAGATGACTAATTCATGAGTTATGTTTAGTGGATCTGTATCGGAAGGTTATTTATTTAATGTCTCCTATAAAGAAAGTGGTAATTGAAATAATCTATCTTTGACCTTTTGCACCATTTGTTTTTGAGGCATATTTTTGTTCATAACTGTTCCCATCTTAACAAAAATTTGAAATGCTTTTGCTCTCTGTATAAGAATCTTTTCGAATGAATTGAGAGAAACTATTACTTCAGGCACATCATCTACAATGAGATTATTCAAAACGCAATACGCAGGCATTAGACCTTGACAAAATTTTTGTTTACAATAATTACATATATATTCCAAATTTATGTTTTTGCGCTCGACATATGCCATTAAATCTCTTCATACTGGAATATCTATTTGTCTTTGAATTTTTTAAATATTAGATATATTTCTTTTATAGCAAAGTCTTTGACACACAAACATATTTTGGTGTGTCCGTTAAGCGTTTAGTCATAACGCTTAATGGACATTAAATGCATTTGGATATTTAGAAATAATATCGTCGTCACTCAAAACAGTATTGTTTTGCTACGTTTATACATATCTGCTTTTTCTTGCGCTGAAGCAACAATTTCATTCAACGTATCCACATCAGCACAGGATAACGCCATATCTAGATCGATTGGGAGTACAAATTAGTTCGATCCGTTTCCAAAAGAAGGATTCGGCTGTTGTGAATGGTTCATAGTGACAACTGATTTTGGCGGTTTCAGAGAGGTTAGACATCTGCTACTAATATTCAGTTTATATCGCTTTGAGTTTCATACAAAAACCTTGATTTTTACTGTGTTTTAAATGTCGAATTTTGTGTTAACCAAGCAGCATTTGCGGGAGGTTTGAATTTTCTGCTTCAATTAGAAGAAAAGTGCAGTTGAAGCCTATCAAATGTTTGTCGAAGTTTATGGTGACACTGCTCCAACTGATAAATCATGTAAGGAATAGTTTCGACGTTTTAAGGATGGAGATTTCAGCGTTGAAGACAAGCCTCGCTCTGGACAGCCAAAGAAATTTGAAGACAAAGACTTGGAGGCATTACTTAAAGAAGATCAGAGTCAAACACAAGAAGAGCTTGCAGAATCAT